TGGGACCTGCCCTTCTCCCAAGAGAGGGGGGTGAGGGGAGAAAGGGAAGTCCTTGGGCATCTGTGTAGCTTCAGATGCCTCCTTTCATTATTATTATTTTCACTGCAATAAGCTTACATTTATTGAGCACCTACTGTGCCCCAGGCCCTATGCTAAGTGCTTTTCAGACATCTGATCACTAATCCTCACAACAGCCTATATGGTAGGTACTATTCTAATCTCCATTTTACAGATGAAGAAACTGAGGCTTAATCAGGTTAAGTGACTGGTCTGAAGTAGAGCCAAATTTGGACCCGGGACTGACTCAAAAGTCTGTGTTCTTTATGCTTTTGCTACTGTGCCTCTGACATGGACCCACTGAGGTCCTCAGCAGGAAGGTGGGTGGGGTAGAAATGTTCCCACCAGGGGACAGGTCGGAGAGCCCAACCTTTTGGGCACTGGGGGTGGGCCCACACGCCTGCAAAGGGAAGCATGTGTGTGTGTGGCCCCAGGGCCGGAACTGGCATGGTGAACAATGGCAGCATGTCCATGGTGTCCTACAAGTTCCAAAACTGGGAAGAAGGAAGAGCAGGATGCCAGCCCTACCACCAAGCCTCGTAGTCTCCCTGTCCTGAGTCCCCTTTCCACATGTGTGCAGAGAGCTGGGCCAGGGGGCTCCAAAGAGGGACCTCCAGCTCTGCCTACTGCCTGAAGAAGGGGACGGGGAGGGGTGTTGGCTGGGGAGGACTGAAGGAGTAGTGGGGGGTGCTAGGAAGACCCCTGCCTCCTGGCCAGGAAGGGAGGGGCTGAGCAGCTCTGTGAGTGGAGTTCCATGTTTGTAAACATCATTAATCAGGGATTAGCAGATGGGCATGCTAATTGCACCTGTGGAAGCCTGAGACCTCAAGGTTGATTACATTTACAAACTGTGGGGCTCATTGGTGCCTGGCCCTGCAGGAATAGGAAGGAGGGTCTGGTTTAGGACCCCAGCCTGGGGGAGGGAGCTGGCAAATTAGCCTTCCGCCAAAAAACATTCCAGCCCTGGAAGGGTGCAGGGGCGCTGGCCACAATTCAGCTGCTCTGGGAACACCAACCTTCTGAGACCCTGCCCCTCTTGGCCGGGGAGCCCTGACAAAGAATCCTACAAACGTCATTTCAACACCCCCCAACTCCCTCCAGCTGTTCTCAGGGGTCAATCATTGCGTGTTGCAGCTGAAAGCGGCCCTAGAACCTATGAGGAAACTGAGGCCAGGCTGGCAGGAGAACAGAGCCCAGTGCCCTGACCTCTAGGTCGGCCCTCAGGTGTTGCAAGAACAGCTACCGCCTTCCTCCGGGCACGGGGCTCAGGGCTTTACCTGCAATGATCTTATTTAATCCGCACCACGATCCTCCAAAGTGGACACTACTGTTATCCCCACTTTATCAACGAGGAAAACTAAGGCTTGGAAAGGTAAGGGACATGTCCACATCGACACCAGCAGGTCAGAGCTGGAACTCAAAGCAGACACTCCCTAACAGCCAGGGTCATGTTCTTCACCAATGTTGTCTCCTCTGGCTTCGTCCCAACCCTGCCCTGCAGGGGAGGGACGCCCACCCGGCCCCCCTTCATACCCACGGTTCCCCCAGCTCCCATGTATTTAACCCACTTGCTGAGCAGCCTCTGTGTCAAGACCCAGAGGCCACTCCAAGGAGAACCAGACCCCGTCCTTGGTCTTAGGCCCTGAGGTGCTTTCTCTTGTTTTGGGAATGCCTGGTTTGCATGACACAACTACGTACCACCCGTGTGTGCCTGGCAGGTAATTACAGCCTCAAGTCCCTTTGGTTCAAGTGAACCTGTCTTCCTAGAGGCTGGCCAGCCTGCTGCCCAGGGGGTGAAGCAGGGAGCAGCCCCTTATGCCTGGCTGTGAGCCCAGGAGTGGCCCCTCTAGACGGTCCAGACCACAGGGACCCAGAAAGCTAATGAACAGCACATCCAACGCAGGTTAGATAGGGTTCAAGATACCACACAGGAGTCCGTGGGCAGGAGAGGAGGCTCTGGACCCTGAGTACCCCTCCAACCCCAACCTCTAGGTTCCATGCTGGGTTTGGTCCTAGAGAACAGAGCTCAATTCTGTACCCCCACGGGGAGGGGACACCGGGACACCTGAGTTCACTTTCATCAAGTCTTGTAGTCTGGGTTCCCCAGAGAAGCAGAACCAACAGGAGATATATATACATACACACTTACCTACTGATTTATTTATTATAGAGAAGTGGCTCATGCGACTATGGAGGCTGGCATGTCCCAAGTTCTGCAGGGTAAGTCTGCAAGCTGGAGACCCAGGAGAGCTGATGATGTAGCTCCCATTTAAAGGCCAGCAGGCTCGAGACCCAGGAACAGCCCATGTTCAGTTCCAAAAGGCAGGAAGAACTCTCTCTTACTCAGAGGAGGGTCAGACTTTTTGTTCTACTCAGGCCTTCAATGGATTGGATGAGGCCCATCTACGTTAGGGAGGGCAATCTACTTTACTCAGTCTACCAATTTAAATGTTAATCTCACCCAAAAACACCCTCACAGACACACTCAGAATGTCTGACCAAACATATGGGCACCCCATGGCCCTGTCAAGTTGACACATAAACTGAACCACCATATCCAGGTTTGTGTGCTGGTCGTGGGGTGCACAGTCTAGTTCACAGAGCGCTTTTTACTGATACGCTCTCATTTTATTTTCATAACCTCCTTGTTGGGGAGCAGGTAGCCAGAGCAGGTGTTGATGGCACTATCCCCATTTTACAGAGGAGGAGACTGAGAAGCCCTCCAGGTAGGAAGCCACGGAGCCAGGGCTGGAACCAGCGTCTTCTGAAGAACCTCAGGGACAGACAAAAGGTTACCTGGCCCAAACTCTCAGGCCTGCGCTAAGGCATGGGCGGGAATGATTTGAAAGCAGTTACTTGGACATGAGCGGGTGGCTCAAGGACCAGTGATTCTTGAACCTGGCTGCACATCGGCATCCACGGGGGAGCTCTAAGAAATGCTCGTACCTGGCTCCCTCCCCAGAGATGCGGATTTAACCGGCCTGGTGCCTCTGGGCACCTGGAATATTAAAAGCTATCCCCTTCCCTGACCTGACTCGAAGGTGCCGCCAAGGTTAAAAACCACACTAGGCTCTTGCCCAAGAGCACAGCAGGGATGGGGGGGCAGCATAGCATGCCCAAGGTTGACACGTGTCAGCAGAGGTCACAGCCTCTGCGCCAGTCGGGGACAGACAGCTGAAGGGGGACCAGTGGGGTGGTGATCTATGGAGCTTATGAAGAGGTTCTTCCTCTTCTTGAGAAGAAAGCTTTGACTTTAAAGCAATCTTGGGCCCTTTTTAAACAAATTCAAATGTCTTTCTAAATTGCCATCACCATTAGAAGTCCAAGATCAACCCATTCCACAGAGAAAAAGGCAGTCCTATTTACTGAGCACCTACTGTGTGCAAGGCACTGAGTTCCTACTGTCCTCTGTCTCCTCCCAGCACCAAGAAGGTAGGATTGTCCCCCTTCACCGAGGAGGGGCCTGAGGCTCGGGAAGGTGAGGAACTGGCCCAGGGTCACGCAGCAGTCAAGATTTGAATTTAGGGCTGCTATCCTCCAGATCCACACTCTAGAGCAGTGGTTCTCAACGAGGGGCGATTTTGTCCCCCAGGGGACATTTAGCAATGTCTGGAGACATTTTTGGTTGTCATAACTGGAGGGGAGGTGGTTGCTACTGGCATCTGGTGGGCAGAGGGCCAGGGATGCTGCTAAACATCCTACAATACACAAGACAGCCCCTCAGAATAGAGTTATCCAACCCAGAACGTCAATAGTGCTGAGGCTGGGAAACCCTGCTCCAGTGGTCTTCAGCCTGGGCTGCACATGAGACCTTTCTGGGGGCTGTAAAAATCCAGATGCCCAGACTGCACCCTGACCAATTACATAAGACTCTCTGGGAGTGGGTCCAGTGTCAGCTGGTGTGTGTGTGTGTAAGATCAGCCCTGAGCTAACATCTGCCAATCCTCCTCTTTTTGCTGAGGAAGACTGGCCCTGGGCTAACATCTGTGCCCATCTTCCTCTACTTTATATGGGACGCCGCAGCCACAACATGGCTTGACAGGTGGTGTGCAGGTCCGCACCCAGGATCCCAACCTGCGAACCCCAGGCCGCTGAAGCGGTGTACTCGAACTTAACTGCTGCGCCACCAGGCTGGCCCCCAAGTGTCACTTGTTTTTTAAAGTTTGCCAGGTAGTTCCACTGTGCAGCCAAGACTGCTCTAAACTCCTTATTCTAGCGGCTTCTGCTCCATTTGTGGGGCCTGAGGGAGGAGGACCTAATCTGTCGGGCTGTACAATAAACGGCAACCCTGTCCTCACCACCTCCGACAACCAAAGGCCAGGGCTCTGGTTTATCGGTTCTTTCCACAGAGGCTGACTGACTGATGACTCACCGGTGGGGGTACTGGAGGGGCAGTGTTAGGGGAGGTGTTTGCTAATCCTTCCCTTGCCTCTGCAGAGCCACAGCCAAGAATCTCCCCAGGTGGCTGCGAGAGCTTTGAAGAGACTGTGGACCAAAGAGCGAGGGTGCCACCTAATGGAGGAATTGGACAGAATGGCCTGTGGTGGAGTGCCTGCTGGATACTAGGCGATGTTTTATTTGATCCTCACAACAGCCCCCTGAGGAAGTGCAGACAAGGGCCCTGAGGCGCAGAGAGACGATGCCATGTGCTCAAGGCTCTGCAGTGGGGCAGGGCTTGAGCCTGGATTTGCACCTGTCTGGCCCATAAGAGGGTCCCAGGCCTCCCTCTACATTCTCAAATGGATTCTTCCTCAAGAGGAAAGGACTGGGCTGCCCGATTTCCTTCTGAGTCTATACTTCCCCTTGACTTCCAGTAGGAAGAAAGAAACCCTCTGTCCCAGCACGGCCTAGAAATTAATGAGCTGCCATCTCCAACTCCCTGTCCCCCAAGACAGCGGTTAATAAACAGGGGCCTGGGTGCACACTCAGGCAGGAGGCTCTGGTACATTCGAGCATGTGGATGTGTGTGCCCTCCAGCACACACACACCTCGGACAGTCCAAGTCAGCCTCCATCTTGCCTCTCTTTTTCTGATCCTGAGGACAGTCCTGGATGCTGAGCCACTCTCGGCCCTTTAGACATGGCTGAAGGTTCTTGAGGGTCTTGGAGAAGTTGCCCTCTCTTCCTCTCTGCAGGAAAACCCTTCCTCTGACTGCAGATGGAGTGAAGAAGAATTCCTGCACAGACAGACAAAAGGACAAGGGGAAGAGAGAGGGTGGGGAAGAGGAAGGACCATGTGATAGGCACTCCCTCATTTCATCCTCAAAAGTATGTATTTTCTTCATTTGGCTCATAAAGCAATTGAAGACACAGAAAGAGTGAGAAACTTGTCTAGGATGAAACAGCTACACGTGTGATCAGAGGGAGAGCAGACTCACCTGCAGCCACAGAGACATTCAAAGACTCGAATCCAGGAGGCAGCTGCCGGCCGGGCAGGATGGTAAGGAGAAGCTGGCAGGAGGCCTGCACCTCTCGGGACAGACCAGAGCCCTCGTTCCCTGCGGAGCACGGGGGCAGAGGGTTAGGGATACCTCAGCGGGACATGCAAGCACTCAGGAAATGCACGTCTGACCATGGAAAAGCAGGGGCATCTACCTACCCAGCACTAGGAGAGTAGGCCGGTCCCAGGGGAACTCCAAGCAGCTAGTAACGGGGATCTCAGAGGACGGGGAAGTCTCAGGGCCCGGGCAGCCCACCGTGCCCACCACGAGCCAGCCCTGCCGAGCTTTGGCCTGAAAGGTGGAAGAAAAAATCTTGTGCTAGCTCACCAAACCCTCATCAGAGCCCCGGCCGAGGAGGACCCAGGCTCTGCCCCTGTATTCATTCCCTCGCTGATCCATTCAATTCAGTCCACAGTTATTAAGCACCTGGAACGGGCAGGCTCTGTTCTAGGCACTGAGGATACGGCGGTGAACAGGCCAAAATCTCAGCCTCGTGGAAGGGTGGTCGGGAAAGGCCTTACTGAAGTGACCTGAAGGAGATGAGGGAGTACCGTGTAGACATCTGGGGGAAGAACATTCTAGGCAGAGATCAGTAAGTGCAAAGGCCAACAGGTGGGTGCTTACCTGGCATGTGTGAGGAACAGCAGAGCAACAAGGCGGCAGTGGGAAGGGAGCCACTGAGACAGGAGAGGGAACAAAGGGCCACATAAGATAGGACCTCAAAGGCCACTGGAAGGACTTGGGTTTTTACTCTGAGAGAGATGCAAAGGCTTTGAAAGGTTTTGAGCAGAGAAGTGACATGGCCTGACATGTTTCAACAGAATCACTCTGCCTGCTGTGTTGAGAGCCGACAGCAGAAGCAAGGAAACCAGGACTCTTCTGCAACAATACAAGGAAGAGATGATGGTGGCTTGGACCAGAGTAGTGGCAGTGGAGATGAGCAATGGCGAGAATATGGAAATAACTTCAAGGTCCAACCAAAAGGATTCACTGAAGGGTGGGACACACGGTCACGAGAACAGCAAGAATCAAGAATGACGCCACAGTTTTTGGCCTAAACTGAAGGGACACAGTTGCCATGGATCAAGCAGGGTAATTCTGCAGAAAGGACAGATCCTTGGCTTTGCAAATGTTAAGTTTGAAATGCCCCTTAGACAGCAAAAAAGAGCTGTTGAGTAGGCAACTAGCAGTAGGCAACCGCAGATGTGAATCTGCGGTTTAGGAGCAAGATCCAGGCTGAAATACACATTTCAGAGGCATTCAAATATAGATGGTATTTAAAGCCATGAGACTGGATGAGACCAACAGGAAATGAATATATGGAGAAAAGAGATCCCAAGACTTGAGACTTGGGAGATCTGGGGGATGGTCAGAGGAGCTGCCAAGTGCAGGGCAATACTGTCCCCTGGTGTCCAAGAAGGGAAGCACAGCTGAAGACAGAAGCACAGACCAGGAGAGGGGTTTCTTAGGTTTGCCTCTTCCTAGGTTTTTTAGTGGTGGTGGTGGTGATGGTTTTGCTTTGCGGAACGGAAAAGGGGAAAGGCATACACTAGTCCTTGTTCAAAGAGCCTTTCTGGGGGAAACCTCTGGAGGAACCTGGGACTCTTGGCCACCAGCTCCTCACAGCTGAACATTTACTGAAGACCTACTGAGCAGGCACTGCAGTAGACGCAGGAGGGTTAAAGGTATGCCCAGGGAAGGAGTGCAGCAAGGGGAATGACGCTAGAAAGTCCCTAACTTCAGATTCTGCTCTACTTGTGGTTTTAAAAACTCCGAGATCCTCCCCTTCCCAAAGAGATTTAGAAGGACGTAGGGAGCGTTGCCAACACGTCCCCTTCTCCCATCAGCTGCTAGCTGTGTGCCCTCGGAAAGGCTGAGCTTGGCTCATTTCTGCTCCTTTACTCCTCCCGCCCCCCGCCATTACCTGTATAAAACCGGCCAGGTCATCAGTGGAGAATACGTCCATCACCTCCATAGCACCGGCGCTGGCCTTGCTGACCACTGGAGTGAGCGGGCAGCTGCAAAGTTTCCCCACGCCCCACATGAGACTAGGTAATCTCAAGCCCGGTGCCCTGCCCTCCCCTGGCCCCCCAAGGGTTAGGGGTGAGAATTCTGGCGATGGGGGGACCTGCCTGAGGGATCACCCAAGGGTTAAGGTGCTTAGGAACTCGGCTTCGCCTCCATATTGGGGCACATGGGGAATAAGGGACGTCCGTGCCTGTTTCTCCGGCTGGTGATGACTTTATCCACTCCGAGGAAGTGAGCGGAGCGCAGCACGGCCCCAAGATTCCGGGGATCCTGGAGCCCCTGGAGGACGAGCCACAACTGCTGGGGGTCGTCGCCTGGCCTCGCCTCACGGCTCTCAGTCCAGGGCAGGGGCTGCAGCGGGCTTGCCTCCATGCAGACGCCCTGGTGGACCTGGTAGCGGCACAGGGCGTCCAGCTGCTTCCGTCTGGGCCGCAGCACTGGGATGTCCCGTGCCTCGGCCACCCGGAGCAGCTCGGCCCGCTCCCCCTGCAGCCCGGACCTGCCGGCCTGGAGCAGGAGCCGGGCCACGCGGCGGCGGGCGGCCTGCAGAGCCAGGAGACACGGGGACAGGCCGAACAGAAGCTCCAGTCTCCCCTCAGACCGCGGGGTCGTCGGCAGGTCATCCAGTCGCAGGCGGCTTAGCTCCTCCCCGCCAGGCCGCACCCCACGCCGCGCCGCTCCGGAGAAACGACGCGTGAGGAGGCGACCGGAGCAACGGCAGGTCGATATCAGTGCCATGGTCAGTGACCCCTGCTGCGTCCTCGGGAGCGGTCACTCCGCCGTGGCCCGTCCCCAGGCCCCCAACACGGGCGAAGGGGACCCGACCGCTACCCCCGCCCCCTCAGACGGAGGAAAGAACAGCGCGGACCCCCCCTCGAAGACTGCCTAGAACCGGGTAGCAAAAACCCGACCGCCCCCTCCGCGGCCCCCACGTGAGCTGCCCTGCTTCCGGGTTCAGGGGGCCCCGCCCCCTGCCGGCGATGTATCGCGCATGCGTAGCCGCTAGGCCATTCCTATAGCGCCTCCTGCAGGGCTGGCTGAGCAGCGACCTCCGCGTCGCGGCCGGGGGTAGGCGGTGCTCGCAGCTGAGCTGACCCTATGGGCTTCATTCTGTGCCCTTCCAGGTCCCAGGAGGCTGGAGGACCGCATTCACCATACACCAGCAAAGGACATTTTAAGCCAAGGTGTTCGACCAGGCCACTCGCGGTGTTTCCCGCCCCACATCCAGTCCACCACCAGGTGCTGGGGATTTTCCTCAGAAGCTTCTCCTGCATCCAGCCCCTTCTCTGCACCTCCACTGCCTTGTCATACCCTCAGCACCAGTCAGCAAAACCCCCACAATAACCTTCTATCCTGTGGTGGCTGATTCTCTAAGTGACAGCTCTGTCTGTCCTGCACCTGCTGACAAGCCAACTGATGCCGTTGGCCCACAGGTGATGGCCAGACTGCTTGCTCAGCACTCAGATCCCCAGTGATCAGGGCAGGAGCCGCCTTCTCAGCCCCATCTCACTCCTGCACTAACTTCTGTGCTGTTCCCGCAACACTGCATGCTCTTTCAGGCCTGTCAGCCTTGCACACCCTGTTGTCTTCTTTTCTGGCTAGCAAACTCCTACCCATTTTCAAGACCCAACCCAAACCCATGCCTCCTACCTAAAGTAATCCACAGTCCAGGAGTGATGCCCCAAATCCACCCACTTTCCCTCTCACCTGGAAGAAATTCTGAGACACAACCGCCCCTGATGACAGAGAAGGGGAAGAACTAGAAGATGCCAGAAGCCAAGGCAGGTTGTTGCAATTTTTCCTTTTTAATCATCACAGTGAAATCCACTTGGGAGGCAGGCCCTGGTATTCTGCTGTCATACTCAGAGTGGTCTGATGGCCCCACCGGGGACCGAGAAGCCAGGATTGGGCTGGAGAACTGGGATGCAGGGCAGGGGGTGTGCAGTGGGACAGGGAGAGGAGGAAGCCTGGAGCCCTGGATAACCGCTCAGATAGAAGGTGAGGGCTTCTCTCTGCCACCTCATCCCCGAGGGACAGGGGGTGGGGTGCAAGCAGATAGGGGAAAGATTCCCTTTTGGCCACAGTCCCTCCCCCAGGTCAAAGGGAAGAGATCAAGGCAGCAAACAGAGGCCAAGGAGCCCAAGAAGGGGATCAAGAGTCAACAGGTAAAACAATCAAGGGCACCACCCCCTCTCCCTAGCCCATTTTTCACATTTGCAGTGGAAACAATTTGACAAGATTATATAAAAACCTCAAAAATTTTTTCTAGTCCCTGGTGGGGGTGGGGAGAGAAAGTGGAATCCAGGGGTCCAAAAATCAACACCTAAGATCCAGAGGCAGGAGCCAAGCTGTGAGGGGTGGGGAGGGAAGGAGGCGCTCCCCACAGGAAACTAGGTCACCTGCTCGGTGGGCCTCATCTGGATGTCTCCGATCTGCGGAAGGCACAAGGCTTAAGGCAGCCAGGACACTCTCCCCACCCCCTTAGGGCCTCCCTGCTCTCCTCCTCTGGGGATGGTTGGGCTCCTCCAGGGGGTGGACAATCAAGGCCAGACTCACCTGGACATGTGGGGGTGTGCTGAGAACATAGATGACAGCCTCAGCTACATCTTCGGGCTTGAGACACTGAAAGCACCGGGGGAATGGGTTGAGATGAGGACAGAATGGACCCAAGTTCCCTCCCACTACTGAGGTCCTCTCCACAACCCCACCCCAACCCTCCAGGAAAGGCAAGGGTCTGGCCAGAAGGGTGGGGGTCTGAAGGCCAGGGTTTTCTCTCACTTAGGGAGTGACTGGCTTCACCGGGCCCAGAGGGAGGCCCCACCTTTATTTGTTCATAGCCGGCAGCTGCCTTCTCAGGGTCCTTGTCGTAGAGTTTGAAGGCAAATTGTGTCTCCACCAGTCCTGGAGAGATGCACTGGGCCAACAGAGAGGCCTGCTCAGGGGCTGAGCTATGTCCCACCCCTGCTCCAATCAGAGGCCAGGCCTTGGGGAGGCTGGAGGGAAAAGATGGGGGCCACAGGGCCCCATCTTCACAGTGGTGGCCTGATGTCCAGCAGCCACCTCCTCCCTCCAAAGCTGCCACCAGTGATTATCACAGAGACCTACCATCTACAGGGCCCTTACTATATGCCAGGTAAATATTTTACAAAATGGTGTCCCTTAAAACCTCATAGCCAGATCATCATCTTTACAAATGAGAAGACTGAGGCTTGGAGAGGTTAAGTGAGTTGCCCAAGGTCATGCAGCCTTCAAGGGAAGAGCCTAGAGTCCCGGTTTCCAGCCATTGAGCACCTGGTTTCCCACAATCCCTTGCCTTCCCTCTGTCTCACCCCACCATGTTCCCTTCAGGTCAGCCCCCTCCCACGTCCAAGTCAGTGAAATGAGGAAACTGAAGTACCAAGCAGGTCCAGGCAAGCAGTGGCAGAGCCCAGGAATTCTGTGCCCAGTACACTCCCAGGAGTTCTAAGCAGGACACCCTAGCCATGGGCTTCCTGGGCAGAATGTGCGTGGGGTGGGGAGGGTCTGTGCCTACCCCATCCCGCCCCAGGGCCAGGCCACACCCTCACCGTGGCTCGGATGTGGGACTGGGCTTCCCGAAGCTCTTGCCTCAGTCCCTCTGTCAGTGCAGTGACGGCATACTTGGTCGCACTATAGAAATGGGTCATGGAATGGGGTACCACTCGGTGGCCAGACATGCTGGGTAGAGGGAGAGAAGAAGAAGAGTGAGGCTCCCAAGAGACCAGCGGTGGCCCCTGCTGTACGGTCACCCATCACCTAGACGCCACAGGGAAGCCTTCTCAAGGGGGCCTGTGGAGGCCATCCTCATGGCCCACTAATCTAGCTTCTGTTATTCAACCAACTCCTGAAAGTCCTATTCTTCCTAGAAGTCTTCCCTATGCTGACCACAGAATCCACCCTCCTGGTCATGCAGCCTGTCCAAAATCTCTCAATTTCACCTGCATGTTCACTGATACGGTTTTGGTGGAAGATCTCTGGGGGCAGAGGCCATGTCTTCTCCCTCAGACTGGGGACTCCCCAGTGATATGGTGTACTCTCCAAAAGGTGGCGTTCATTCCAGGGCCTGAGGAATGGAGAACCTCAGTCCCAGGAGAACCCCCAGGCTTCAGCTGCAAAGAGAAGGGGCTGAGCTACGCATTCCAGCCAACAAGAGACCAGCACTTGACATACACTGTTCTTTCCCTCACCATAATCGTGCCATCTGGTGTTAACTGGGTATTAAATCCCTATTTTACCACCAAGGAAACTGAGGTCCAAAGAGGTCAAATAAGCTGCAGCAGGCCACCCAGCTTGGAGGATGAGCAGTGATCTGCGCTCCAGCCCTCGGCCACCCGCCTCACCTGTTGATGTTAATGATGTGCCCGTCGTCCACTTTCCGCTCCTTCATGGACTGGTAGGCTTCCCGTGTGCAGATGCTGAGGGCCAGCACGTTCACCTGCAGGCCAGGGAGGGCATGGGGTGTCTTCAGCTAGGGCCCATCTGAGCAGGTGATGGAGCCACAGAGCACCTCCCCCCCGGGGGGGCATTCCAAAACAGTGTCCAGATCCTACCAGAGACCAACAATGGGCCCAGGGCACCTTGCCTTAGGTACTCCTTCCCCTAAAGCCACCAGCCCCTGGGTGACTCCCCAAGTTCCTGCAAACAGTAATGGAAATCCCCCAAACCCACCCATGACCTAGGAGATTCCCTGTCTTTGGCGTCTTCTCTGCAAACAGTAGAACCTCTGCCTTAGGGAACCATCTCCTTTTCCTCCCCAAATACCCTAGTCTTTTCTTCTCTGAGACAGCATCCTTGGACCTGCTGTCTCCTAAACAGCCTAAAATCCTCCCTCAAATGGCTTTAAAAATATTTCCTCAAGCACAGACCCTAGCCTCTCCCCACCTTACCTAGCTACTCTCTGCTCCTTTCCTGTCCCCTCCTTTGAGACCACAAATAAAGAGAAGGCCTGACCCTCTTTCCTTCCACGCCTTCCTTTAACCTCTGTTCCAGCTACAAGACTAGGCACAGAGACTCTTTAGAGGGTAGGGTAACTTGTCAGGATGGCACGGACCTCCCAACACATGGGGGGCTTCCTGCCTTCCTTGGCCCCTGCCCACTCCTACTTGCTCTGGCAGCGGTGACTCCAAATCCCCACCTTTCATGGAACAGAGGCCTGAAGAAGTCTGTCTGCTCCAAAGCTCCTGCCCAGCCCCACCCCTTAGCCTCGCCCATGAGGACAAGCCGAGATAAAGCTTTCAGCAGGTCCTCATGTCTCTCCTCTTGGGAAGAGAGGGGACCAGTGGGGAGATTAGATGTTTCTCCTTATCGGGTGTCAGAGCCAGCCATAAGGACAGAACACCCTCAGTGTGAACCTGCCTCAGCGTTCACGGCAGAAGGACACTGGGAGTTTCCAGCCATTTCTGGTCCTCTTAGCCATATGGGTTTGTGGGGCAGAGAACTCAGCTCCTAAGGATGGAGGGAGTAGGAGAAACAGATCCCCTGGGGCCAGGGGAGCGAATCTCCTAGGTGTGGGGGCCAGGGGTGGGAGTGGAGAAGATGCCTCATAAGATGAGCCTAATAGAATTACATAATGTTCACGTTGAAAGGGGCCTTAGGGATTTAATGTAAGTCTCTCATTTTACAGATGAGCAAGTTGAGGTCCAGGTTTAAAGACCCACTTACTGCAAGTGAGGACCACAGCCTGGATCTCCCAGAAGGCTCTCTGAGGGCAGGGGCAGTGCTTCATTTTCACTGTTCATTGTTTCACTGTTCATTGTTCATTTCCAGGCCCAAGCATCTATTAGGTGCTAAATCTACTGTGAGCAGATGTGAAAAGGATTGTGGGGGAAAAGATGCAGCGTATCCCCTTTACACACTGCTTTCAACTTCTCAGGATACTTGCGTACTCTAATATTGCCCCATAATACAGTCCAGAAGTTGAAAATTCATGTTT